TCCGGGTCGTGAACTCACGATCGTGAATGTTTATGCACCAAATTCATCTCAGGCTTCCTTCTTTTCTCATTTTTTTCACAGTTCTTGATAGGTTTCTTTCCCCTCATTTACTGGTAAGAGGTGATTTCAATTTGGTGGCTAACCCCCTTTTGGACAAAAGTTCGTTCTCAACTGGTAGACTCCTGGAGGGCACACAATGTAGGAGCCAAAGATTACTCATTTTACTCCCACCCACATGACTCTTATGCTAGATTAGATTATATCTATTGTTCCCCTATTTTACTAGCCAAAACTTTTTGACATCCCGCTCTGAGAATACTATCATTATCAACAGATTAGACATTTTTTCCTCTCACATTTTTGGTCTGACACCTTCCTTCCCGATCTCACTTTTCAAACGTATTAGCCGTGAGTCTCCCAGGGGAAGGGATCTCATTTCGGATTTGTATCGCCAATTTCTGGTTGCTGCCTTCCCATCTCCCCCCCCTGATAGACAGAAGTGAGAGGAAGATGGTGGCGTCACCTTCTCTGATGAGGATTGGGAGTCCATGGTGGATAATATACAGTATTTTTCGCTCCATAAAATGCAATGCACTTTTTTCCCCCCATAAAAGGGGGGAAAATGTCAGTGCATCTTATGGAGCGAATATGGAGCTGCCGGTCCGGTATTTCCACCGCCGCCTTGTCAGAATACTGGGCTCAGCTCTGCAGCAGGACCTTACCTGTTCCTCGGTCCAGCGCTGCACAGTCTTCCCGCGCTGGCTTCTTTAGTGTAGGATCTCGGCTTGACAGCCGGGTGCCCAGTGCACATGCGCGAGAAGCGCTGCACTTTGTGAATGGTACGGCGTCTTCTGGGACACATGACAGGTCCCAGAAGGCGTCGGACCAATCACAAAGCGCAACGCTTCTCGCGCATGGCGCACTGGGCACCCGGCTGTCAGCCGGGTGCCCACACTAAAGGGAGGACAACTCTGCGGATGTGGGAGTGGGTACCTGTCAAATTCAGGTACCCACTCCCCCTCCCTCCCCAAAGGTCAGCAGTCTCTTAGTCATCCCCTGTACTGTGTCCGCAGTCTCTGGTCATCACTTGCACTGTCCGCAGTCTCTGGTCATCCCCTGCACTGTCCGCAGTCTCTGGTCATCCCCTGTACTGTTCGCAGTCTCTGGTCATCCCCTGTACTGTCCGCAGTCTCTGGTCATCCCCTATACTGTCCGCAGTCTCTTGGTCATCCCCTATACTGTCCGCAGTCTCTGGTCATCTCCTGTACTGTGTCCGCAGTCTCTGGTCAAACTTCTGTACTATGTCTGCAGTCTCTGGTCATCCCCTGTACTGTGTCCGTAGTCTCTGGTCATCTCGTGTACTGTGTCCGCAGTCTCTGGTCATCTCCTGTACTATGTCCGCAGTCTCTGGTCATCTCTTGTACTTTGTCTGCAGTCTCTGGTCATCTCTTGTACTATGTCAGCAGTCTCTGGTCATCTCCTGTACTATGTCTGCAGTCTCTGGTCATCTCTTGTACTATGTCAGCAGTCTCTGGTCATCTCCTGTACTGTGTCTGCAGTCTCTGGTCATCTCCTGTACTATGTCTGCAGTCTCTGGTCATCTCTTGTACTGTGTCCGCAGTCTCTGGTCATCTCCTGTACTGTGTCTGCAGTCTCTGGTCATCTCCTGTACTATGATTGCATGTAATATTCTAATTTTCTGAGATTGTGGATTTGGGGTTTTCATGAGCTGTAAGCCATAATCATCACAATTATGGCAAATCACGGCTTGAACTATCTTGCTTTGCATGTAATGAGTCTATCTCATATATTAGTTTCACCTTTTAAGTTGCATTACTGAAATAAATGAACTTTTGCACGATATTCTAATTTTTCGAGTTTCACCTGTAGATCTCTTTCTGTCTGGGAAACTGCCCTCAAAATATTAACCAGATGGTATTATACCCCATCTAGATTACATGTCATGTTTCCAGGGACATCCCACCTCTGCTTCCGGGGCTGCGGCCTTACTGGTACCTCTTTCTTTCCTTTTTTTTATTTTATATGGTTGTACCATTTGAAATATGCGTTACAGACATGCCTTGTTCTTGATGTATGCTTTACTTGATACTGTACTGCCATTTTGTATTATATTTCTTGACAAAAAACAAATTAAAAACGTTTGTAAACAAAAAAAGAGCTCTTTTTTTGCCTCAGAATTGAACCCTGTCATCAGCTTCTGAGAGCCCAAAGTAAGTTAGGCCTACTTGTTTGCAGTCCTTCTGCTCACTGGGGGAAAGAAACATCTAAGGGCTGAGGCTTTTGGTTAAATGCTGAATTTCAGGACATCTAGAAGTGATTGAGATTTTTTGCTGTGTGTATTGAGTTTTGCGTAAAGTTGCAAAATTGATAACTGTTATTATTCGTACACCTATTACTTTATGTTGCTTTACTGTGCTACACTCAACTTCAATATAAGCAAAACATCAGTTCACTCTAAACTGTGTGTGAGTCTGTTTTCTGGTGATAATCAGAGGGTTTTCCCTGGTCAGAAGTGTACTGTGGTTTCATCAGGGGTTGGGCGTTCACAGTGGGGTCAAGGATGACAGGAAGCTTGAAAATAACTCAACAACTCCTAAGGGGGTAGTACTACACCAATGTAAAAGGCATTCTTATTTTCACTGACCATTAATGATGACGGTATTCTTCCTCCCACTGGCCACCTGTTTAATGGACATTGTTTTTTCTACTAGCACCAATGCAATAGGGTATTTATTCCTCCCACTGAACATCAATGTAAGGGGCATTATGCTATATTACAAAGTAACAGTTCAGCGTTAAAATATAACCACTAATTATGAAATTATAAATGCAAACTGTACCAATTTTTATATCCTAAAAGTGTGGGTGTAGAAAAAATGAATCCAATAGCTACTCCAAACCTTCTAAATTCAACAAAGAAAGTAAAAGTGGTTAAACACCCACATAATGCAGTATAAACAAATCAACCATGAAGTGCTTGCAGAAATAGAGTGTCTAATAATGAGCATATATCCAGATGAAAGTAATATAAGTCATACACAGAGTCCCCAGGTGTAAGAAATGATCTCTTCACTTAGTCACCAATCTGTGTTCAATATAACAAACTAGAAACTTGATACGAGCGCTTGGACTAATATGTGAGCAGCTGGCATAAAGGTACAACCTCAAAACCTTCTCATTGATAACATATAAAAATGCAGCGCTAAATATATAGGATAATGACTAGTGTAACAAATAATGTCATTTAGGAATATTAGTAGATGGAAATACAGTTCAATGACATAACAGAGTGCATAAAGTGATCAATAATCAATGCTGATGCATCCCACGTTGTGATAGTGGACATCCAAATACAGGTGAAGTATCAGTGGTTCCCGTGCTCAAAGGTGTGTATATAATATGCACTAACCAGATAGCGCACAATTCAGTGCGTTTGAGTAATCAGACCACTCCTGGTACTCTGGAACTGGGAAGAACAAGACCTGAAGATCATCTGTGTACAATACTCCACCTTTATGCACTCACCAGAAAGCTAATATACATAGGCATGTATTATAACTATTTCTGTATACCCCATACTGTCTCCTCAGCATTCTGGTCTATGGCCACCAGTCAGGTCTCCTATATCAAGAGGGAGCTCACACCACGGAGCCCAAATAGAGGTATATAGTGTAGTATATTTATTAATAAAATCAGCAGTAAAAAAAAACATTAAGATCAATCCATGTGGAAGTAACAAACAACATGGTCCAGACTTACAAAGATGGCCGTCAATCCGAGTTCTGGAAACGGCGTTGTTACGTCAGCACATAAGGTTCGTGTTATACAGGTCTTTCGATGGTTCGTTTCTGCTCCCCATGGCTCAGTAACTAGCTTGCTCAGTACATTCACATGGGAGCTAACAAACTCATTGACTATTTATACACAAACACTAACTGCAATTTAAAAAGCCACAGATGTGGGAAATTAATCTTAAGAGCTCATGTATACTGCAGCTGATAAACTCACGTTTAGGAGCTGTTCTGAGTTTTTTAAGCAGCCCCTGAACTTACCCTAATGTTTTCCTATGTGTCCATGTACACATCTTCGTTTACAGTCGTTTACAGGCAGTTGAGTTTACAGATGTTGTTTTGAATGCAACAAACTTGTGTTCAGACGTTAATTTTATCAGCGTTTTCAAACGCAAAAAACGCTTTTAAACGCTTGTAAACGCATCTAAACGCTTCAAATCGCGTTTATAAGTTTGCGTTTGAATTTTTTTAACTCTTCCAGTTCCCAATGCTGTCCAGAGCCTTTTTTCATCATGAAAAATGCATGAAAAGAGTTTTCAAGGTGCTCAGATGAATAAAACACTGAACAGAGGATGTTCCTACAAAGCTAGTCACACATTGTAATGACCAATTCACACCTCAGACCTCTCCCACCCTTGGAAACAAAAGATATGTTAATGCCCATTCACACCTCAAATTCCTCATGCAGACCCCCTGCCAGGTGACCTTAATGCCTCACTCCAGCAGACACCTTCCCAACCTTGGAAACAAAAGAAATGTTAATGAGCAGCTCACACCTAATTATCTCAACACATACTGCTGTCTCTGCTTCTACTCTCTGTATTTCTCTGAAACAGTCTGAAATAGTTAATAATTTACCACTTTTCAGTGCATTCTGGGCATTTGGGAGGTTCTCCTGTGCTTATCTTTAAAAAGCGCTTCTAAACGCAGACGTGCATAAACGCATTATGCAAACGCATCTAAACAGACTTTTTTAACCTACGTTTTCCAGCAGTCAGTTTCCATCGTTCAGAAACGTCCCATGTACACGGGACTTAATTGCCATGTAGCCTCCCTGGCGGTATTCCCGAGTGTAGCTCAGGGTAAAGTTTCAGTACCACAAGCGGTAACCCCCGAGCTACACTCGGGCTTACCATGCAGAGCTGCTCCGGGATCTGTTCTTCACTTACCTTGTCCTGCGCTCCCGCGATGTCCCTCCTGCAGCGTCCCCGTCAATGTCCTCTGGCGGATGTCGGCATCTGTCTTCTGGGTTCCGTCCCCTGCGAACATTGGGACGTACGGGGATGGAATGGCGGGAAGTTTGAAAATGACAAAAAATGACATTCACTGAATTCACTAAAATCACATAGTAAAACATTACTGTATCAAACCATTTCACATACATTTTGTCCCGAGTGCTTTGTCCTGTGCCCTGCCTGCATTTTTACCATTCTTTCTGCCTGGAAACTGAGAAATGTCCATGGCGTCCAAAAAGCGTCCCTTTAGGTCAAAAGTGGTTTTAGACCAGCTAGAGAAAAGCGATAGTAAATCAGAACTACTTGCAGAATTGAGTGATAATGATTCGTGGAGAAATTTGTCATCAGACACTGAAAGCGATTTTGAGACTTTGCTCAGTGATGTGCGAACTTGGCGCTATATTTCAAATTTCAGTGTTTTTGGTTTGATTATATTATTGAATTAAATGTATTATTATATTATTATTTTTTATGATTATTTATTAAATTATAATTTATGATTTCGTGTTTCAAATTGTAACATACCCGGGATGTTTACTAGACTCTTGTTCGGATAGATTTCAGTGAGTTATTCCTAAAAATTACAGGCCTGCAATAAAAAAAATACATATTTCCATGCAAAAAAATGTACTGCTTTGAGCACAGAAATATGGACATAATCAGACCGCTAGGGAGGTTAACCCGTGTGTATCACCTTGTGTGTCTGTACCAAGGCCAAACATTCCAGGGTATGTAAACGTTTGATCCGGGCAATTTGGGTGATTTCTGTTATCATTATAATCTGAAAAGGAGCCAAACAACCATGTGATAATAAATGGCTTCATATGATCACTATCCTTAAATAAAAGACAGTTTTTCTGGCATGATCAGTCATATTTTTCATCATCAATGTCAAAATTTTCATGATTTCTGCCAGGGTATGCAAACATTTGAGCACAATTGTAGTTGTGCCTATGCGACCCTAGCTCACTGCATAGATATTTTGTGTATACTGAGACTACAAGGATGACAGCATATGTACACAGTACATGTGCTGAATAGGTTGTCTTTTTAAACCACTCATGCTGTTTAAGAAAATGTGGCCATGCCCACTGTTCAGCATAATATGGACAAGCCCACTGTTCACAGTAACATATTAATATTCTTTACTCGGTGTGATCTTTTAAAATCCTAGAGCCCCTATGTAGATAGTGTCAATACCCATGCGATCCGATTCTAGTGTGGACCAAAAAAAGGGTCCTGCACCTTTTTGGTGCGGGTGCAGTGCAATTAGAGCCATACAAAATGTATGGCTCCAATCGCATCGCGCACAAATCGCATGCTATTTGCACAGGAATGCGGTGCAGTTCCTGTGCAAATCACATGCGATGTACCACACCGCATATATGTGAACCCAGGCTAAATAGTTTTTTCTGATATTGTAAAAGGAGAGGTACAAAATAATACAAGTTTATTCGCATGCAGTAACATTTGAACAACGAAGGCAATATTTACTGGTATCTCTTAATTGTATTCTCCATATCTGGCTGTTATTATGGGTAGAATAGTCCACTATGGAATGGTGCCCCCCCCACATGATAAGAGAAGAGCCTCTTCTATGGAAGAGAAGCTGGTGAGGCAGGTTTAGGCAGAGCATTGCAATTGCCCCTGGAGGATTCCTTATAGGAAACATCATGCTTTCCTGAGCTCCTCAACAAACAAGAAGAATGAGTGCTCATTGTAGGTGTTATATAGTTAAACATAAAGTTAAAGGGGAGAAGAGAGGAAGAAAGGGCAAAGAAAGGAAAGATACCTAGTTAAAGAAGATTTTGACCAGTCTGTCTCTTGAGTCTAAATGGAAATCTTAGTGGTTTTCTTCAGATATATGTAGCACCCTCCTAGTTTAGTTAGTGTTTAATTGGTAGTGAGGAAGGCTGAGTAGCAGCCTGGGTGTAATAGCCAGAAAGTCAAATCATGATCAGGAGTTGAGAGGTTCAGTAGGCCAGCCCCTCTGGAATTCCCCCTGCTCTAGGGCTTTGGAGGAAGGCTCTAGAGGCAGTGGATGGATTTGAGAAGTGGCTGGCTGAACTCTTGAGGGACCTCAACCAATCCCAAACAGAAGGTTTGGCAAGGGGCTGTGACACCCTTAAAAGTGTTGGAGCCTGCTCAGTTGTAGGAGAGTTTGGGTGGAAGAGAGAGAAGATGAGAGGCTAAAGGAAGGAGGCTGCAAGGAGACCCAGTGGGATGGGGCCTACCTGCAGGCCTGGAGCTGGACAGGAGGTAAGCTTGGAGCTCACCGGTCCTCTGAGAAAGGACCACCTGTATAGCAGTGAAGGAGTGGTCAAGCTAGAAGGCCTGGTAGCAGCCACAAACCCACCAACGGTACAGGAGAGGATCACTGAGTTAAGTACACCTGCACCACCTGTCAGATAAGGGAAGAAGCTCTCTGGTGGGAAACCAGATTTGCCACCTACCAGTGACTGTTCATCTCTTAAGGTGACAGGAACCGTATCCCCTGTACAGGGATACCACCAGATAGCTGGGTGAAGAAGAGAAGTTCTTCTAGGGTTTTGGGTGGTACACTAAGAAGATGCTGGCTAGTTCTCCAACAGAGACTGTGCTGCAGAGAATGCTTGTAAATAGTTTTTCTATGAAGTTGCCCTCCGTGTATCAGTTTTTTTTGGGCATCCTGTACACCCCTAACCCTATCCCCAGTTCAAATCCACTAAATTAGGGGTGGGCAACTGTGGCCCTCCAGCTGTTGGTGAACTACAAGTCCTATCATGCCTCTGCCTTTGGGAGTCATGCTTGTAACTGTCAGTTTTGCAATGCATCATGGGACTTGTAGTTCTACAACAGCTGGAGGGCCACAGTTGCCCACCCCTGCCCTAAATAAAAACAACAAAACCAAAGCTCAAGGACTGATTTTTGACTCTGGATGCAAGTTCTTGGGAAGATGCGTGTTGCCTGGCTGTGCAGGACTGTACGGGTATCCAAATCTTCTAGTGCCTTCTAAGGGGGTAGTGCTACTATATATAAGTTAGCCAAGAATGCCAGTTTTTCTCATATAATTTAACTTCTTCATTTATCATTATCCATGACATGTTTGTCTTTACTAGGTCAAATGTTATGTCAAAGACTTTCTAGACCTGACTATTGTGATTCTTGCTGCTATGAATATGAACAAGATCAGCTTTCTTGCACAACCCGGTGCTCCCTCTATTGGTTGGCTCGGTAATACCTGCAGGGGGAATTTTTTAACCACTTCCCGTCCAGCCCATGTACAAAAACAGCCGGACAGGAGCATTGCAGGAGCGGGTTGCCATTTATAAACGGCACCCGCATGTACAGCTCCTTTGGACACAGTGGAACATCAATCGCTGTACGCGTTGGATAGGCTATTATAGCTGTCCTCTGTGTTCTTCACCTATAGCAGCCCCTTTTTCCATAAGGCAAGCAGGCCTAACAGTACTTAGTTCTTATACACAATGCTATAGTGCCTGACTACCATGCCGGGGCAGTCGTAAACTGAGCACAGCGAACAGGCACTTGCGGTTGGCAGACTAGCAGAGTGGTCAGTGGCAGTCAGGGTTCAGGGCAGGCAACATTTAGAGTAGTCAGGGTCAAATCCATGGTCAAAGGGCAGTCCAATCCGTGGTCAATAACAAGGAAATCCAAACTAGCTGACAGGGCAGGGCTCATGCAAAGATGAAGGTCAAGGCACAGGAACAAGGCAGGGAAACAGGGAGCTTGAAGCACATGTTGCACACTATATCACAAGCATGACTCTAAGGAATTGACAGGCTTAAAGCAGGTTTGAGCACCACCCAGAAACTGTATCTCAATACAACCTGCAGGTGGACAGTTAGACAGGGGGAGTGCAGCTCAGCCAAATCCAACATGCTAGAATGAGACCAGCAGCTACCGTGGGTCAGGAGCGTTCAGGGGCGGAGTGACTATTTGGAAACTCAGGCAGTGCCCCAGGGCCCGGGGCCAGTAGGTGGCCCCATGAGATGCCCCTGGTACCTTTTTCATAGGTTTTTTTGAGTTTGGGCAATGACACAGGGGCCCCATGATCCCCTATTACCCGGGGGCCCCATGAGTTGTCAGTCCGCCCCTGGGAGCGTTACATGATCCTGAAAAATACAGAAAGCCAACCTCAATGGAACCATTCAGCAGCGTAATATTACTTCGTAGTTTGCTTCAATAATTGAAATATTGGTATAGGACTGAGAAACAAAATGAGCCAGTTTATGCCAGTCGTTATTATCCAGTTCTTCATCCATATCATGTTCCCATTGAACTATGGTATATATGGTCATCTTATTTTATGAATATAGTATTTAGCATGGTATAAGTCTCTGAAATATGACCATATAGCCTGCTGAGTTTCCTGCACAAGTGTTTGAAATTCAATGGATAAAAAAAAATCACTTCCAAAAGGTTACTGTTGACAAATAACTGAAAGAAGAAAATAACGGTGGGATATAATTCAAAGCCCTGCTCCCCACATGTGGAAAACATGTTCCTATTGATTTCCTTGCCAGTACTACAAGCATTTGGTGCCAATTTAGCAGCTGGTGTTGTACTACAGCTTGGAAACCAGTGCTTCTGTTATCAAGCCCTAACAGGTTTCACAGGAGAAGGATTCTCCTCATTGTAACTGCTTCAAGTGTCAGTAAGCGAGTCACTGTTATCAATCATTTCCTAAACATATTCACTGTGACTAATCTTAGTGCTTAAATTACCTTCCTCATTCAATGAGTACAGGATATGGTATGCTTCCTGTGTATATTTACCATAGAATCACTATTGGTAGCCTCTAAAGAAAAAACACCCTAACACCTAAATACCTGGAAATATAAAGAGGTGCCTAAAAATAATATAACCAAGATAATTTTTTAAAATTACAAATACGCTAAACAGAATACCTATTTTTTTATTTGATGAAGAAACTAATGGATATCTAACCTCTATAACCCTTCTATTGCTGGGGCAATTTTTGCGGCCGTCAAGGCCATTTTAGAATGGCGCCTTGTTCCAAAGTGGTTTATTTTTAGGTTCCATGCACCCTAGTATTTTTTTAACCACTTGCCCTCCAGAGGATGTTCCCCCCCCCCCCCCCTTCCCCTTCCTGACCAGGCCATTTTTTTGCAATATGGCACTGTGTTATTCTAATTGACAATTGCGTAGTCATGCAGCACTGCACCCAAGTAAAATTTATGTCCTTTCTTTTTCACAAATGGAGCTTTCTTTTGGTGGTATTTGATCACCTAAGCGGTTTATTTTATTGTGCTATAAACAAAAAAAGGCCGACAATTTTGAATAAAGAAACAATATTTTTGACATTTTGCTATAAAACATATCCAGTAAAAACATTTTAAAAAAATCAAATTTCGTCATACATTTAGGCCAAAATGTATTCTGCTACATGTCTTTGCTAAAATAAATCCCAATACGTGTACATTAATTGGTTTACATGAAAGTTATAGCATCTACAAATGGCGGTGTATATATACTGGAATTTTTTTTTTTTTTTTTTTACTAGTAATGGCGCTGATCAGCGACTTATAGCAGGACTGCAGCGGGCATACTGACACTGGGTGGGAACTGACTAACTGTCACTGACATCCCCAGTGACACTAATACAGTGATCAGTGCTAATGTCATGTAGCACTGCACCCAAGTAAAATTTATGTCCTTTCTTTTTCACAAATGGAGCTTTCTTTTGGTGGTATTTGATCACCTATGCGGTTTTTAATTTTATTGTGCTATAAACAAAAAAAGACCGATAATTTTGAATAAAGAAACAATATTTTTGACATTTTGCTATAAAACATATCTAGTAAAAACATTTTAAAAAATCAAATTTCGTCATACATTTAGGCCAAAATGTATTCTGCTACATGTCTTTGCTAAAAAAAAATCCCAATATGTGTACATTAATTGGTTTACATGAAAGTTATAGCATCTATAAATGGCGGTGTATATATACTGGAATTTTTTTTTTTTTTTTTTACTAGAAATGGCGGCGATCAGCGACTTATAGTGGGACTGCGGGACTGCAGCGGGCATACTGACACTGGGTGGGAACTGACTAACTGTCACTGACATCCCCAGTGACACTAATACAGTGATCAGTGCTAATAAAAAGCACTGATACTGTACTAATGACACTGGGAAGGAAGGGATTAACATCTGCTGCGATGAAAGGGTTAGCTTTTCAGAGTAATACAAAGCAGCATTCTGGAGCTGACGGGGAAAGTATTGTCTACATACAGACCTCTCCCTTGTCAGTGATACTCGGCAATCGCCGGGTGCCAATGGGATCCAGTGATCGACAGCTGCAGCCACAAATGGTGGCACGGGTAGGGCAACGTGTCCCCTACCCAGAAATACAAATTCATGTTTTTTGTGATCTTGTACAGCCCTGCTGCTCTGTAGCAGTAGTTCTTCTATAGTGGGGTCGGGAAGCGGTTAAGTTAAAAAAAACGCTGGATAAAAGATGCTGGTAATACTGTTTTTTAGTGGTGTTTTAGTAGTGTTCAGAAGTGTTCAGGAGCATTTATGAGCATTAGGGTTTTCTTAGTGTTTTTACAGTACAAGTAGAGGAAAAAAAAGCAAGAAAAAAGTTGTTAGGAGCATTTTAGTATAGTTTAGTAGCATTTAGAAGCGTTTAGGAGCATTTCGCTTTTTCTGTTGGAAAAATGCTCCCAAAAACTCTACAAAAGCTATTTTTTTTTCTGCTCCTAAACGCTGAAGCTCAAAAAATGGTAATATCCTAAAGTAGCGTGCATGTACACATAGGATAGCACTATTTAGCTTCTAGGAGCAGAAAAAAATGCTAATAACAGCTTCTAGGAGCTAGTGTGCATGTCTGTCATAATTCTTAAGTAGTGTGAGGTGAATCAGATCACAAATCAGAGTAAATTTATTGATTCACCTTGTCCATACCTGATAAGCTGTTATTGAATTTGCCACATTTTACTGTGTAGAGAATGCATAGATATGAATACATATTCTGTACAATTTGTTGTGAAACACTGCTAATAAGTAACTTTTTTAACATTTACTCTTTTTTCCACTCTATCACTGTCACTAAGGGTGATTATCTGCACAGAAAGTGGATCTGGATCTAGCCCACTGTCTGTATTCAACAGAAAGAGGTTAAAAATCAGGGCCGAGGTGGGGGCGGTCATTATAGCCTCACTGTGCCTCCATGAGAGCCACGTGAAGCAGATGCCTCCATTAGCCTCATGGTGTCATGGCCTGAGCACCTCTGTGTCCATTTAAAGACACAAGGAGGTCGGTAAACACAAGGCTTGTGTTCAATGATTTTCCTAATCACCATCTTGAATGCAGAACTGCTAATAGGATTAGGAGCAGGAGTGGAAACCAATCTGATCACTGGGTTGGTTGTCCATACTATATATTAATTTTGTAGAAATGATTGAACTGCTCTACACTTCCGCAGATCGCTTCCTTGATAAGATTAACCAATTTCTGTAGATCAGGGTGGACGTCCTCCCAGAACGCACCTCTCGTGGGCCCCATGGGCCATGCTGCAGCGCAATCTGTCATCTGCTGTGTCCACCTGACAGACACCTGACAGGCAACTGCTGGTACCATGTGATTGCTGTGACTAATCACACCAGATGACATGACAATTGTACATGTAGCCAAGTACAAGCTGTGTCATTCTGCAATTCAGGGACATCTGCAGCCAAGACTGAGATCTGGTTCCTCCCCCTCTAGTGAGAGCAATCACATCAAATCCTGTTAGCATAGTGGGAACTGTGGCTGACAAGCAAATTATCTTGGGACATGTAGTCCCACAGCCTAGTTTCACTATATTCTTCAGCATTGTCTGGACTACACTTACCAGGAGGAAAGACACCAAAGGGCATTCTGGGAAGGTCTTGGCATGGGGATCTGTAACTAGACAGGGGCGAGCATGTCTCTTCCCCCCCCCCCAAGTCTTGGCTGCAGCTCAACACTGTTCAGCGCAGTGATCCTGCTCGGCAGCCCAGCATCCACCAGCATGGTGGGGGCAAACCACAACATTCCTGGGACCGCAATATTCATCTGGGTATCTGGTCGGTCCCTGTTTAGTTACGTTGCAAGGACAACCCACTGTCTTGATTGGCTGTTAGGAGGATTTGGAGGGATTCCAATTGTTACTTCCCAGATGACTGGTGAGCGGGTGCAAACCTAGCATTCTTCTTAGTACAGTATAGACACTGCATGCAGACATCACTTTCCTGCTTTTGTATCAGAGTATGCTTGTTTGGAGCTGTCACAGTTAACCTGTCTGCCTTTAACAGAATACTATCTAATGGATCATCCTAGGTGATTGCTGTTTAATTCAAGTATGTGAAAACCAACATTTAAAACAAGGGCCCCACCCATTGCTAGCAAAAGACACCAGTACTCTCCACCCCAGGAACATGAACATTATAGCACTTTTCTATCCTATTGCATTTAAAGGGACCTCTTTTTTCACTGCCAAGAGGGTTTTGGAGAACATAGACATATGTATATATCTATTCAGACCCTCTGCATAAGTGGAATTACTGTATCTGCATAATTAATTTTGTTTTTCTCTTAGCAGTGTCCTTTGGCCCAAAGGGAGCTGAGGAATCAACAAATCTTCTCGTCCCCCTCTCAGCACCCGTATATATAGTTTACAGTCTATTCTTATATTTACAGCTGCTGAATATTGATGGTTGTCGTTTTTATTGCATTGATAATTTGCATTAAGGTTCGATGGTGCTTTAACCACTTTTCTACCAGGCACTTTCACCCCTTTCCTGCCCAGGCCAATTTTCAGCTTTCAGCGCTGTTGCACTTTGAATGACAATTGCCCGGTCATGCAACACTGTAATTTTTATAATTTTTTTGAGACAGATAGATCTTCTTTTGATGGTATTTAATCACCTCTGGGTTTTTAATTTTTGCTAAACAAATTAAAAACAACTGAAAATTTTGATTTTAATTTTAATTTAATTTCTGTTATAAAATTTTGTAAATAAGTCATTTTTATCCACTGATGTGCACTAATAAGGCTGCAGTGATGGGCACTGATAGGCACTGATGAGGAGGCAATGGTAGGTGGCACTGATGGGCATTGACAGGCATCACTGATGGGCACTGAAAGGCAGCACTCATATATGGCACTGATAGGTAGCACTGACTGGCACTGATAGGCAGCACTGACTGGCACTGTTAGGCAGCACTGACTGGAACTTTAAGGTGGCACTGCCGGGCACTGATAGGCGGCACTTACTGGCACTAATCGGTGGCACTGATTGGCAGAACTGATAGGTGGCACTGACTAGCACGGATAGGTGGCACTGACTGGCACTGATAGTTGGCACTGAAAGGCAGGTCAGATGGGCACTGATATGTGGCATTGATGTGCACTGGTAGGCACTGATATGTGGCACTGATGGGCACTGGCAGGTGGCATTGATGGACACTGACAGGTGGCACTGATGGGGCTACACTGATCATCAGTGCTCTGATGATCAGTGCACATGTCCCCTCTGAGGAATGCCGATTACCGGTCTCCTCTACTCACGAGCTGTCAGCGTGCAGCTCGTGAGGGGAGGAATGCCAATAAAAGGCATTTTCTTATTTACATGCGATCAGCTGTGATTGGACACAGCTGATCACATGACAGAGCCAACATCTT